CCGTGTCCCAGAACCCCTGGATGTGTCTTCCCCCCACCTCAATGGGGATGATGTGGCGAGTGTCCCCCGGGGCCTGTCCCACGCTCACCCGGCGGATGGGGTACGGGTGCTCTGGACCTGGGGCCCCGCCTTCCCCTGCTGGCCTGGCCTGGCAGTCCCCTGCCCCTGGCACAACCCTCTCGACTGCAGCCCCTGGGCCCGGCGGTGCCCCCTCTCGGTGGGCTTCCACCCAGTTCACACCCCGCGGGTTCTGCTTGGCCGCCATTTCCTTCATCTTCAGGCACTGGGCCACCTTGTGCCCCTTTTGGCCACAGTAATTAAATTTCAGGTCCCTCAAGTCCCACGAGGAGGGTCGCCCCCCCCCCCGGCAGTCCTGGGCACCCCCGAGTCGGGCTTCCTGGAGTCCCATCTTTGAGAGGTCTCTGGGTGACTCTCCTTATGAGTCCCTGATGTGGGTCTCCCCCCTACCCCCAATCTACTGTCCACGAACTCATCTGCCAGCGCCCTGCACGGCGCAGATCTTTGGGCTTCCGGTCCACTAGCCACATCTTAAGGTCCGGAGGGCAGATGTCCTACAGCTGCTCCAACCCCACCAGGTTATACACGTCCTCTGCGGTAGTGGCCCCTGCGCCCTTCCCCCACTTGCGGAGATATTCCCCCAGCAGGTTGGCGACCTCCTTGTAAGAGACACCTGGGGTCTTGCGCACACCCCGGAATCGTTTCCTGTTCGCCTCGGGGGTCAGTTCAAACTTCAGCAGCAAAGCCTGTTTGAACAGGTCGTAGTCCCCCGTCTCCACACCATCCATTTGGCTGAACGCCTGTATGGCTTTGGGACCCAGCCGGGGGGCAGACAGCGGAGCCTGTCTGCGGGGTCAATCTGGTTCAGTTCACAAGCCTTCTCACAGGCTGTGAGGTCGGCATCCATATCCCCCCCCCATCCTCGAACTGGGGCAGCAGTTTGGTGTCTAGATTCCCCACACCACTGGCGTCTCGGGGCCCTTCCCCACTTACCCCGTGTCAGGCCCTCTTGGCCCGTCTCTCGTCCATCTCCAACTCGTGCTTCCGCTGCTCTACACGGTCCGCTCGTTCTCTCTCTCTGTCCACCAGCCTCCGATCCTCCAGCTCCAGCTCCTTCACTTCCAGCTGCAGCTCCAGTCTCCGCAGCTCCTCTAGGGAGGAACCTGACTGGGGTCTCCCTGTACTGACTGGGGAGTCAGGTCTGCCACACTCCCGGTCACTACACAGACTGCCCCCCCGGCTACTCCCCGGCTCTCCGGGCACCCCGGGAGCCCCCCTGGGGTCTGGAGCCTGCGCCTCAGACGGGTCATTCTCTACCAGCTGAGCAATCAGCCGCTCCTCAGTGAGCCTCCCACGCTCAGCCCCCTCCCCCTGCAGAGACGGGCCGGGTCGCTCTTACGGAGCTGGTTCTAGGCCATCTCCAGGCTGGTTCCGTTCAATACCCTCGTTCTATCGCTGGCAGCCACTCACTGCAAAGCGCCGGCGCCCGCAGCCCACGTCTACAGGGTGCATCCGCAACATATCCCACTGCTGACACCACGTTGTCACGGACTCACAGATCGTGCCCACTCTTGGCCCCGTGCAGTCCGTGGGGGGTGCCCCTTTTAGTGAGACAGCCCTTCTCGGGGGTCCACTCTCTCTCAGGGTCCGGCCCCTCCACCTCCTGGATCCGCACCTCTCTGAACCTCAGCATGTCTGTCTCTGCCGTGGGCCCCCTCAGGGAGTCCCCTCGCTCTGGACCCCCCGGGGCCTCCACCCCCCGAAGGGGTTGATGCCACCCTGTTCTCTAGATCGGAGTGACTCTCAGCCAGCATAAAACAGGAGGTTTATTGAGAGTTGAACACAGCACAGGAAACTCTCAGGGCCTCAGGCCTGGCCTCCCTCAGCCCAGCACACTCTGCATCCAGGGGGGCTCTGCCTGCTCCCCCTCTCCAGCCCCGAGCCCCCCTGCTCCCAGCTGGGCATCTGAGATCCCCGGCCCCAGGCCCCGCCTCTGTCCATTGTCTTCTCTCCAGGGAAACAGGGTTGTACCCCGGGGCCTCCGCTCCTGCTTCTGTCCTCTGGCTGGAACCGGCTGGTCAGGTCACTGGGTCCTGACTCTGCAGCCCATTGTCCTCCCACTGACCAGAACCGGCTGTGTCTCCTCAGCTGGGCCTCCGGGTCACCAGGTCGCCAGGTCACCGGTCGCTGGGGTATCCATCCTCCCGGCCATCGGCTGGGTCCCCAAGTCCTCTCTCCGGTCCTCTGCAAAACACACTCCCTCTCCCCTCACCTCGTTAAACCAGTAACACCCAGGGACACTGAGTCCCACCCCCTCCGCATGCAAACCATTGAAACTCCACAGAGAACAAGAAAACCCCCCACTTCGTCACATCTCTCCCACCCCCACCAGCAGGCACAGGAGACGGGGGGGGGCCTGCAAAGTGCACGTGGGGTTGGGGGGGCTGTAACTGGTGCCTAATTCTGTAGGCCCTACCAAAATGGCAACACTTAAACCAGCCCCGACCTCCTGGGTGGCTCCCAGCAGGGGGCGATCGCGCGCCTCTCTGATTCTGGGGGTTCCACACAGCACCAACAGGGAGCAAGAACCCCCCCCCAAGTGGGCACCCCACCCCCTCCCACCTCAGAACAGCCACCCCATTCCCCGGCCCTGCCAAAGGCCCCGCTGGATCAAAGCAGGTTTGCAATCCGCCAAAACCCCCGACCGTCGGCGTTCCTCAACGCCGCAGCCAGGCCCCTTGCTAGAGCTAACAACCGACTTGGCCGAAGTGACTCCTGCGCAGGGCCTCAGCCAGCCCGATCTCCGCCCCTGGAAAAGCCCAGGGGGGCGTTTGAAACGAAGAAGTCCAGCGGCGGGAGCTGGGGATTTCTTAAAGGAAATGGATTTGCTGGCGTTCTTGGGTTGAAAACTTCAAAGCTCTTTGCAAACCTCACTAATTGGGAAGGTTTTAGTTCGGAAATCTCGCTTCCCCTGGATTCGCTACGTGGCTCTCACGCCCGTCACTGCGGAAAAAACCCCAAACGCATCCGTTGGAAATACCAGGATCGGCTGCGAATGTAAAGTCAATCCGCCCTGCACAGATGCACTTGAGGACAATTATTTTTTTGTCGTTGCAACCGTTGAGGGAATTTTCATTTGCAGATGAGGCCGAGCTGCAAAATGATTTTGACTGAAGCCCTGAATGCAAAACCTAAGCAGCCACCGCATTACGAAACGTCGGGCAAAGTTCTTTTACTTTTATTCCAACAACAAAAAAATCAAACTGGGTTCGCCAAGTTGGCACCCGTTCCAGCCGTGCTTCTAAATCCCCTTTATTCTTTTTTGGAGAACGTATTTGCAAACAGCCCAAGCGGCTCAATCAAGCTTTGCAATGCCTCTTAATTTGAGAAAGGTTTTTGGGTCAAAGACATTGTTGCAAGGCCGTAAATCACGTTGAGGAGGGGCGAGAAACTGAGCTCCCGACCGCTGAGAATCATTTTGCAAATCTCCAGCCCCAGAAAAGAGGGGGGCCTTTTTGAGCACGACTGGCTCCCCAACGCTCTGGGTGTAGCCCCAGGTCCAGGCTTGCAGGTGGATTGTGTCGCGTTTAAAGGATCTGGGTGGATCTCCCTTGACAAGGGCAGAGGAGATCCCAGAAAATGAACTCCCAGTGTATTTCAAATTTTGTCCATACCCACTTTTCCCATAAAGCCCATTTGACACAAACTGCAATAGAAAGGCTTTATTATAACCAAAAAACCATCCAATTCCTGCAGCTCCAATCTTGCAAACGAGGGACCCGCAAAATCGAACTCCCGATTCTGCAAACAAGCGCTAAATCCCGCAAAGCGAACGACCGGCCCAGCCCCGAAACCTTCCGAGAGGGGATTTAAAAACTCCCTTCCCGGCGAGCTCAGCTGGCGAAAGCCGGGAGCGAGGAAGCGGCTCGGTGGGATCCCGACGAAGGGCAAGTGGATTTAAGGCCCCAGAGCCGGAGCTATAAATTATGTGGTTTCAAACGAAACGTTTTAAAGCTTGTGCAAAAAAACCCAACCATGTGCAATTCAGAAGCACAGCGTGAACCCCAAATTCTCCTCGCGAAAGGTGTCAAACCTAAGACCGGTGTGGGGGGGCAGCGGGGGCCCACCCACAACGCCCCATCTGCAGGGTGCATTTTGGATATGCGAGAGGGCAAAATATTCCCCCCAATGCTGGGGCAGGGAGAACAAAAGACAGTGTGCAGATGGGGGGAGCCTTTGGGGCGTACCCCAAAAACAGGCAGGCGGGGGGCATGAAGGCACCAGAGGGTTGATGGGGTCAAAGGGGTGACTCCAATGCAGAGGGGGGTGAACCCTGCAAATAAGGAATTAACCCCCTGAAAAGTCTCCATCCCAAGGGGTGGGAAGCTGGGGAGATGCCCCCCCCCAAAAGAGGAGTAAAGAATTGGCTTCGGTGCAGAGGGATCCCCAAAACTGGGAGTGACCTTGAAACCTCAAGCCCATGGTCAGGTTAAACTGTGTCCCCCCAGCAGATCCAAAAGACATCCGGAGCACAAGGCACCAGCCCCCCCCAAAACGTGAGTCTGTCTTTGGCTTGTTCTCCACACACACACACCCCCGAGAGCTGCACCCCAAAAACAAAGGCACTTAAAGGGGTTCACGGTCCATCGGGAGGAAACCGACGCGCGTCGTCTGCGGAGGTATCAGGCAGCAGGCGTTCCAATGCGACCAGCTCTGGGGTGGAGCGTTGGTCCCGAGCCAGGGGAGCCCCGAAGTCACCAGGCTGCACGGACTGCAAAGGGGTCAGCACTCTGGAAGGGAGAGTCGAGAAAGGATCGATCCTGTATTAATGCCCCTGGTTGCAGCCACTTCTGGGGTGGGGCGGCTGGTTACATGGGGACCCCTCGCCTGGCACTGAGATGTGGCCACCTCTGGGGCGAGGCGGCCGGTTACCCAGGGACCCCTCGCCCGGTGCTGAGATGCAGCCACCTCTGGGGCGGGGCGGCCAGTTACCCAGGGACCCCTCGCCCGGTGCTGAGATGCGCCCACCTCTGGGGCAGCTGGTTAGCCAGGGACCCCTCGCCAGGCAGGAAGAAAGGAACAAAACAGCTGGAAAAGAAAAGGGGAAATAATAAACCTTTCCAGCCAGTTTCTCTCCGTTTTCTTTCCTCCGTTCAGAGTGAAGGAAGCAGGCCTAGAACCGGCGGGCAATGTTGGATGGGGGGGGGGGGGCAGGGGGAGCGTTTCGAGGGAATCCCACAGAAAAATAGAGGTTTCTAAGGGGGAACATCTCCACGTACAGTAAGAAGAGTCCGTTTCTAGTGCAAAGCCCCAACAGTGGTGTGAGTACGTATCAAATTATTCGGGGAACGATTCACATGCCCACTGGCGAGGGGCAGCGACACGCCAACACCCCCCAAGGAGACGGTTTCTAAGGGGTGACCCGCACAAAAAAAGAGGCAGTTTCTAGAATGGATATTGCTCAGGCAACAAAGCCTGCTTCTAACCTTCCCCCACCGTTCATAGTTAAAATAAACACCTGCATTTTGAAGGGGAAAATCTTTCCCCCGTCCCCAGAAAGGCAGTTTCTAAAAGGGAAAATCCCTGGCCTCCAAAAAAAATAGTTTTTAAGGGGGAGAACTGCAGCAGTTTCTAAAGGGGACCCCCGGCCAATTAAAAAAAAAAACGGTTTCTAATAGGGGACCCCCCCACAGCTGTCTCCACAGGGGAGAAACCCTTAGCCAAAGCAAGAAAACGCGGTTTCTAAAGGGGACCGTACACCCCGGGAAGGCAGTTTCAAGCAAGCGCCAGGAGGTTCTGCCTTCGCCGACCGCACAGAAACAGCTGAGTTGGCCCTGGAAGATGGGGGACAAACCCCAACCCCAAGTCTTTTTGGTAAAGAAACAAGGCAGCTGCAGGCCCCCTAAGGGCAGCTTAAAGCCATGGGGCTTTTGAAACCGCCGTGAACTCATCTCCACTGTGTTTACAAAGCCTTTGTTTTTGTAGAGTCGCCCCACACCCTTGGGTCGTTGAGAAGCCACCATCCGCAGTCCCAGCCCCACTCTGTGTTTACGTAGGGTAGCCCTCAACCTCCCCCCGCCAGCTCTTGCCAGACTTTCGAGCGCTGTTTACAAGCAGGGGTATTTTTGTAGGGTAGCTTACAAAACAAACACCTTGCGGATGTTAGTAAACAAAGGGGAAGGTTTCTGGCTACCCTGCAAAAAGAAGCTCTTTGGAAAACCATGACCACAGCCCCCCGCCCCGAACCTGCGTCCCCCTGACCCCGTGACCCCCAGATCCGCCCCGTACCTGGCCCGTCCCTTCCGCCCCGTCGTCCCTGCAGCTCCTGGGAGCGGTGGAAGTCGATGCTGGCGTAGGCCTGGGGGCTGGGGCCACCGGCCGCCCGGGGGCTCCCATCCGGGCCGCCTCCTCCCCGGGCCAGGTCCAGGGCAACGTAGTTGAGTCCCGGCTCCTCCCAGGCGGGGATGCCCCGCTCCCTGCAGCGCCGCCTGCCGGGCTCCGCCCTCGCCGGCTGGCCCGGGCCGGGCCGGTATTCGATGCTGACGTACTCCCCGGGGCTCAGGGACACCGGCTCCTCCAAGCTCTCACTGCTGGTGGAGGAGGAGCAGGAGGAGAGGCGCCCGGGCACGGCCAGCTGGGCCCCGTGCTTGTAGGTGCGCGGCAGGGAGCGGAAGGGGCAGGGGGCCTCCCCGGGGGCGCCGGGCGGGGGGCTGCGGCGCAGGGGGGTGCTGCTGGCCGAGCGCCACAGCGGGGACATGTTCACGTACTCGGGCGCCCAGCTCCCGCTGGGGGACATGAGCATGTACCCGGCGGCTTCGCCCCGGGGCGGAGAGACGCCGCTGGGGCTCATGGGCACGTAATCCGGCTGCCCCGCGCCCGGCAGGGCTGCCCCGGGCAGCATGGCCATGTAGCCGGACTCTGGGCACCACCCTGGCTTCCTCCGCCCGGCGCCTGTGCCCAGCGCCAAGGGGGGCAGCGACGGCCGCTTGCAGCTGGGCGCCCGCCCCTCCGGGGAGCCTGCCGGCTCTGGGCTGCCCGTCGGGCGCCCCTCTCCGGGGCTGGAGGATCCGCCCTCGTCCGACGACGCCAGGGCGTAGTCCCCGTCGGGCAGGCGGCGCCCGGAGCCCGGCAGCTGGGCAGGGGGCAGGCGCCGGGCCGGCACCGAGATGGGGGCGGAGGCCTGGCCGCGGCCTCGCACCCGGCACTCCTCACTCAGCCGCTTCATGGCCTCCAGGATGGTTTCGTGGATGTGCCGGGCCACCACCAGGTCCTCCACCTGCATCCACAGCTCGCCGGGGCCCGTGGCGGCCGAGCGCCCCACCTCCAGGAAGAAGTAGTTCTCCGAATGGCCGCAACGCCGGACACTCAGCAGCTGCAGCAGTAGGCAGGGGGCCGGGGCGCCGAGCTGCACCAGCTCCACCGTGCTCTCCGCCAGGCACAGCCGGTGCACGCCCACCAGGTTCCTGGCCTGCCCCAGCCCCTTGGGGCGCAGGCTCACCTGCCACACCTCCCGGAAGGGCCACGCCGCCCCGCTCCCCGGCTGCGACAGGCCTGCGGGAAGGGGAGGAGAGGGTTAAACCAGGTGGGGAATGCGGCTGGCTCTGCGGAGGGGGCAGAGATGGCACTCGGTGGGAGACAGGTTCCCCGGAGACCCCTCGCCCGGCGCTGAGACACCCCCACCTCTGGGGCGGGGCGGCCGGTTCCCAGGGACCCCTCGCCCGGCGCTGAGATGCAGCCACCTCTGGGGCGGGGCAGCCGGTTCCCAGGGACCCCTCGCCCGGCGCTGAGATGCAGCCACCTCTGGGGCGGGGCGGCCGGTTCCCCAGGGACCTCTTGCCCGGTGCTGAGATGCGCCCACCTCTGGGGCGGGGCGGCCGGTTCCCCAGGGACCTCTTGCCCGGTGCTGAGATGCGCCCACCTCTGGGGCGGGGCAGCCAGTCACACAGGGCCCCGCGTTGAGCTGTGGCAGTGGCTGGATACGAGCACAGGGCAGGTGACCGGGAAGCAGGGTGGAGGGGGGGGGAACAGGTGGGAGAACAGGACCAAGGAATAAACAGACCCAAAGATCCCAGTGCCGTGGCAACCACCCACGTCACCCTGGTGACTGACTGTTTCCATGGGGACCCAGGGGAGGGGGGAGACAGCTATGGTGGGAAATGGCCGGGGAGAGGTAATTTCGATAGCTGGAAACAGGATTGAATATTTAATATATTTAATATTTCCTGGAATATTCCCCTGCTGGGCGCAGGGAGAGAACCCAGGAGTCCTGGCTCCCAGCGCCCCCTGCTCTAACTACCAGCCCCCGCTCCCCTCCCATAGCTGGGGAGAGAACCCAGGAGTCCTGGCTCCCAGCCCCCCCTGCTCTAACCCACCAGCCCCCACTCCCCTCCCAGAGCCAGGGAGAGAACCCAGGAGTCCGGGCCAGGTCCCTGTAGTATTGTTGGTCTCTATTGCATATGGCACTAGCTGTTCCAGGGCAAAGTTTGCTGCCTGCCCTGGGTGAATTGTCCGGGCGCTCGGCCACGCTGGGCCCTGGGACAAAACGGGACAGATTGGCCCAATTCCTCGGCTGGCGCCTGGAACCGTATCAGGGCTTTTATCCACCCCCATCCTGCCTCTTCTGGGGCTGGACTTTGCCCATATGAGATTTCGGAAATAGAACCCAGAGCCCACCCCGCTCCCGGAATCGGGGAGAGAACCCAGGAGTCCTGGCTCCCAGACCCCCCTGCTCTAACCCACCAGCCCCCACTCCCCTCCCAGAGCCAGGGAGAGAACCCAGGAGTCCTGGCTCCCAGCCCCGCCTGCTCTAACCCACCAGCCCCCACTCCCCTCCCAGAGCCAGGGAGAGAACCCAGGTGTCCCCGCTCCCAGCCCCGCCTGCTCTAACCCACCAGCCCCCACTCCCCTCCCAGACGCAGGCAGAGAAAC